ATCCCCACCTCCCAACACACACTCTCCCCCTCCCCCTCCCCCCAACACACACATCATGTGACCTCTCTCTCTCTCTCTCCCTCTCTGTGTAGCTCCGCATCACTCTCCTGTGTGACATGCCGGTCCACGTGGATGGGGAACCCTGGATTCAGCCTGCTGGACAGGTCATTGTGCTCAGGTCGGCTCTCAAGGTCAGTACTAGTCTCTAGTCTCCTCAGATCCTCATCATAAAAATGATCGTTTTTTTCCGTCAATGTTTGATGATGATAATTATAACAATAGTTTTTCCGCCGATGTCTGATGATAAAAAAAATAGTTGTTTCTTTCAATGTTTGGTTATAATAATAATCGTTTTTCCGACAATGATGATAAAAATAGTTGTTTTTTCTGTCAATATGTGAGGATGATAATAGTTTTTCCGTCAATGTCTGATAATAATGATAATCGTTTTCTTGTCAATGACTGAGAATAATAATAATAGTTTTTTCTGTCAATGTCTGATGATAATAATAATAGTTTTTCTGTCAATGTTTGATAATAATACTAATAGTTTTTCCGTCAATGTCTGAGGATAATAATAACAGGTTTCCGTCAATGTCTGATGATAATAACAATAGGTTTCAGTCAATGTCTCGTGATAAAAATAATATATTTTTTCTGTCAATGTCTGATGATGATAACAATAGTTTTTTCGTCAATGTCTGATGATAATGATATTAAGTTTCTGTCAATGTCTGATGATAAGAATAGCTTTGTTTCTGTCAGTGTCTGATGAAATTTATAATAGTTTTTCCGTCAATGTCCAGTGATAATAATAGTTTTTTAACGTCAATGTCTGATGATAATAAAGTTTTCTCGTCAATGTTTGATGATTATTATAATAGTTGTTTTTTTCCGTCAGACATAATAATAGTTTTTCTGTCAGTGTCTGATGATCACCACAGGCCACAGACCCTTCTGCTCACTGAACAAAAGGGCAGAAGGTTATCTCCCATTTTATGCTCAAACCCTGGAATTGGAGGAAAAAGGTCTTTTTTTGTTTTGTTTTAAAACTAAATATTTGACATTACGTTGTAAATGTGTAAATACCGGCAGTTTTATGCACCACCGGTGTACCGGTGGGTAGAGTTCAAAGGGTTAATGATCCAAATAAATTGGTGGATGGAGACATAAAACATCCTATATTGAAAAAAATCAAAACAAAACCCAACAATATTCCTCTTTGTTTCAGGCGACCATGCTGAAAAAGAGTAAAAACAAGATCAAACGCCGCAACACAGAGCCAAGCATCTTCTTCCCAGAAAATGAACCACTGCAAGCCTCCTCCCCTACAGAAGAGTCTACCGGACCTCTTTAACTGGTGAGAAATTTTCTGTTTTTGCTGAGTAGATCATCAGTCATCAAGGCCGTTCGCCCCTGGCAGGGTATAGGCCACTTACAAGCTCCTTCCAACCCCCCGGGGAAGTGCCACTGACTGAAGTGTCTTTAGGCCATTCCCAAAGGGGGGACATTTCTCGTTCAAGCATAGTAGAATTGTAAATAGGCTGACTCATAACTAATTGATCTACAACAGGGAACTGCTGCTTTTTCTTTCCTAATCCTTACAATTGTCATTTTCCTGTACTTCTTTTGTATGTTTGTCACTCTCTTGTGGCCTGCTATTTTGGGGTGCCTTGATAGTCGAAGCAGACCTTGTGCTGTTGAAGCTAGAGAGATGAGCAGTCTAAGTCTGATTCCCTGTAAAGACTTCTCTGTTGACGCCCACCCCTTGGTGCTCATATGACCTTATGAAGTTGCGAGCGCTGTAAAACCCTTTACTATAAGATTTTAAAAAAACAAAAAAACTCCTTCCATTTACCTTTGTCCTGGGCCATCCTTCCAAGCTCATTCCAAGCGAGCTTCCTCTCTGTCATGTCCCGCCGAGTAGATATTCGGGTTGAAATCCTTTCTGCTTTTTCTTTCCTCATCCTTACTATCGTCATTTTTTCTCTACTTCTTTTTTATGTTTGTCACACACTTGTGAACTGCTATTTCCGGGGTGCTTTGATATTATTTTTAAAAATTTCTTCCTTTTGCCGAAATTGTGCAGGGAGATAGAAATTGTATGAAAAGGATGTAAAACATTTACTTTCTATGTTTGTTCGTGTTGTAGAAATTGTGCAGGGAGATAGAAATTATATAAAAGGCGAAAAATATTTACAATTATTACATTTTTGTTTGTATTTGCTCTTGTTGCATCTTCTTTCCTATCAAACATCTATCATCTATATCTCCCCTCCTTCTTTTTTATGTTTGTTACTTTCTTGTAACACCTCTGATCTTCGGCACTTATATGACCCTATTGCTTTGCAAGTGCCTTAAAACACTTACTAAAACTAGAAATTGTGCAGGGAGATAGAAATTATTTGAAAAGGGCGTAAAATATATACTTTTTATATGTGAGGCAGTGTGGTGGAATCAGGCTCTCGTCAATTTTTGGGCATGTAGAGTTATTGGTGGTATCTTAAAGCTTGTTCGCTTGTCTTTATTTGGATGAAAAAAATACCCATTTATCTTGAATACAAGTCGAGATATTTGCGAAAGAAGGAGGTGGCAGTCATTTGTTTTCAGAGGTAAAATTAGTGAGAAAATGACCGCCAAAGATGAGTTATTTCCTTAGCTTAAGAGTCTGTGGTAACTGAAATTTTTATTTTTTGTGCCTCTTATCAACATTTTTCAGAAAAATCCACACAGAAATGAGTTCTTTAATGGGCTTGAAAGGTGTTGAGCCAAAAAACAAAAATTTAATAAAATTTCACAAACCTGCCGAAAAATGCAAGTTTCTTCACTTTGATTATTTTGACGAGAGCCTGATACCACCACGATACCTCACAATTGTATGAAAAGGGCGTAAAATATTAACTTTTTATATTCATTCTTGTTGCAGAAATTGTGCAGGGAGATAGACGCGTGTTAGCCAGGTGTGTACATCCTCCCAGTCTCCCTGCTTCCCTGCATTCTCCCCGTCTAGAGCACTGTACCCATCACCATCACCACCACCACCACCACCACCACCTCTACCACCTCTACCACCACCAGCACCACCTCGACTGCGTACACGTGGGTATGTGCACGTGTATGTACGCGTGTACAGTCTTCATAGTTCACCCCCCCTCCCCCCTCCATACTGTGGGGAGCGCAAGGAAGGAAAGTGAGCTGTGATGATGATGATGATGATGATGATGATGATGGTGATGATGAAGACAACCACGACCAAGTAACTTTTAGATGTCAATTCATACTACTACTACTACTACTACTACTACTACTACTACTACTACTACTACTACTACTACTACCACTACTACTACCACTACTACTACTACTACTACTACTACTACTACTACTACTACTACTAC